GCTCATCATGGCGGGGCCCTCCACCAGGATTCGGGGCACAACCTTGGCGACGCGGTTTGTGCCCGGCGCCGGCCGCCGCACATCAGCCACCCAGCCCAGGTCTATGTCGTGCTCGCCATTGACGACGAAGCGCCCGCCGTCCACGTTCAGCTGCAGCCACACGGGCGAGACGTGGCTGAACTTGCCCAAGAACCGCTTGGCCACGTCGTAGCCCTTGTTGTTCCATGGCGTGACGTATGCCAGTGTTGCGCGCGGATACACGGCTGAGCTGTGCTCGTGCTCCGGGTCCACACGGCTGTGCGTGTCCAGCACGTGCTGGATCAGCGACGGTGGGTCACTGTCGCCGGCATGCTCGCTGTCGCTGCTTGTATCACCGTCAGCGCTTGGCGATGTGTTGCTGTGCGGTCGGTTGTTGAGGGTTGTGCTGCACCACCACTGCGCACCCATCCACACCGCAACGCCCAGCACCAGCACTGCCAGCACCACTGACAGCGGGGACAGAGCAGGCGTTGACCCTGCCTGCTTCGCCGCCTTCTTCCTTCCACCGATGCTGCTGCTACTGCTCTTCTTTGTCTTCTTGGCAGCAGCAGCAGCGGCAGCGGCGGCCCCTGCGTTGCCCTTGCCCTTCTTCGCCATTGTCCAGTCGTGTTCAGTGTTGTGTGTGGGCTGTGGTCTTTGGTTGTTTATGTGTGGTGGCCGTTGTGCAATCTCAATGAATGCATGGACATGCATGCCTGGCGCCGATGGGTGATGTTTTGATTAGACGGTGGTGAGCTTGGTTTGGGATTCGGTGGAGTGGAGGTGTGGGCGCCGCTGCTTCTGCCGCTGCTGCTGTTCTGTTCCAGTTGTCAGGCGGCGCGTCTGTTCTTCCACAGCGGCCAGGTCCACCGCCAAGTCTGGCAAGCGGATTGTGTGTGTACGTGTGTTTATGTGTGTGTGTGTGTGTTTATGTGAGTGTGTGTGTGAGTGTGTGTGTGAGTGTGTGTGTGTGTGTGAATGAGTGAATGAGTGAATGAGAGAGAGGGTGTGTGTGTGTTTATGTGTGCGAATGAGTGTGTGTTTATGTGTTTACGTGTGTGAATGATTGAGTGAGTGTGTGAATGAGTGTGTGTGTGTGTGTGTTGGTGCGCGAGTAGGTGAACGAAGGGACGACAAGCGTGCAGTGAGATGGAAGCTGCGAAGCAGGAGAGGAAGGTGGGGCGAGGCTTCAATCAGGATGAACATGCATTGGTGAGGTGCTTGAACCTGATGATGGCACGTGACCTTCGACGCCTTCTCTGTTCCGGCACCACCAGTGGCCACCTGGACAATCGGTCATGCGCACGACCTGCAGCACTTCCCCCTTACAATACGGAAGCCCTGCACGCAGTATAATGAGACGGAGAGAGAGAGAGAGAGAGAGAGAGAGAGAGAGAGAGAGAGAGAGAGAGAGAGAGAGAGAGAGAGAGAGAGAGAGAGAGAGAGAGAGTGTGTGTGTGTGTGTGTGTGTGTGTGTGTGTGTGTGTGTGTGTGAACTGAAACAACAGTAGCCACGGCAGCCCTCCAAAGTCTTCTGCTTCTTCTACTTCTCCTTGATACTCACGGTTCTTCACAAGCAGCAAGTTGGCTCGAGACGGGTCCACTTCATCGCCTGCGTGCATGAAGGTGTGGTGGGCGGAGACGGAGTAAGCTGAACAAGAGCAGTTGCACGCATTGCTCGATGCGTTGCACCACACACATGTACACAGATACACAGACAGACAGACAGACAGACAGACAGACAGACAGAGAGATACATAGACAGACAAACAGACAGACAGACAGACAGACACACATACAAACAAGGCACGGCAAAGCACACCGGGCCATGCGCACCTGAAATGCAGTCTGCAGTGGCCGTGGCGTCGGCGATGGACGAAGCAGCCTCAATAGCTGCATCGATGCTGCCAGACAGCGATTCGGCAAACGCACATGTGAGCATGTGAGCACCCACAACATACGCAGTTGCATACACACACACGCGCGCACGCGCACGCACGCACGCACACACACCGCAACGCAAGAGAGCACAGCGCAACCTGCTCCTTCGTTGCGCGTCTCTGTCGTGGCCCATATGCGGTTGATTGCGGCCATTGGGCGAGGACGATGACGACGACGATGAGGCTGCGGGCCAGGTTGCCGTCCTGCCCACCTCCGTTCCACGCGACACGGAAGGCTGTACACCGAGCGTACGCTCCAGATCCTCAAACGCAAAGTCCGCTCGTGTCGGCTGGAAGAACTGCAGCACATCTGCATCCCGTGAAACCTACAAGTGTGTGTGTGTGTGTGTGTGTGTGCGTGCGTCTGCTTTGTGTCCCGGGTCTCTGTTGTGTGTCTCAGCTTGCTCGCGTGTCTGTGTCTTACCATTGGCCACAACCACCTTGTTACACAGACAGCCATCATGTCGCGCACACATGACACACACACACACACGCACACACACACACGCACGCACACAAATACACAGGCACACACACATACACACACACATATTCCATTCCGTACATTTGGGGGCATGGAGAGGAGGGATACGCAATAGCTTTCGACGCTCTGCACGAATTTGGCGGCTTTCTCCTCGGTCTTGCTTTGCGCAGACTTGCCTGAACGCACGCATGCGCACGTGTGTTCATGTGTGTGTATGTGTGTGCGTCTGAGTACGCGTCTGAAACAACACAATGCTGGCAGCAGATGGCAGTTGTGGTGTGTCATGACGCAAGCACAATGCCATTCAAAACACAAACAGCCCAAACACGAGTGCCAATTCACTGTACCTGGAAGCACGGGCAAGGTGCGAGGCTTGTCCTGTTCACCGGCTTCAAGTGGAAACTTGGTCAACAGCCCACACTGCCCAATGACGTGGTTGCAATGTGACATGGCAGTAGGCTGAGCAACAGTATGCGCGCACACACAGACACAAGTCGTAACGCACACACACACACACACACAAGTCGTAACGCACGCACACACACACACACACACAGACAGACACACACACACAGACACAGACACACACACACGTACTCACACACACACAGACAAACACGTACACACACACACACAAACACACACACACAGCACGAGCAACAACACAAATCATAACATGCGCGACTCACGTGAAAGTCAAAGAATTCGTTGTGGCTCCTGACGGCGGTGGTGTGCTTGCCATTGCTCCAATGTAAGCGGATGACATAAGCGTAATGCTTTGTGGGCTTTGAGCGTCGCTCCACACCTGTAATCTCCACCTGCCGCACATAGGACGGCGCCACCGGTGGCGGGCGCGTTGGTGCTGGTGGCGGCTGTCGTGTTGGCGCTGACGCCAAAGGCGTTTCCTCTGCACCAGTGTGATCTCCCATCCTTTCAAACCCTCACTGACTCACTCACTCACACACGCACAACAAGACAAGAATGGATGGAGAGGAGACACAAGCAAGCAAGTAGGTCGTCTGGACAGCAACGTCGGAAGGACAGCGACTGACGAAAATTGTTGGAAATTGTTCACCAGTTGTCAGTACCCGCCACAACAACCAACAACAACAACGACAGTCGATGACGGCGAAGCGGAGCAAGGTGGCGCCCAGCGCACGGCTGGGGCAGCTGTACGGCGGCATGAAGTTTGGGGAGGAGATGAACGTGCTTGAGGAGCACGTGATGAGGACAGGCCTTGCTGACACCATCAAAACCGTCTTGGGCATTGATTTGGTTGGCCCTTGTCAAGTGCTGCACAGCGTGGACAAGCCACAAACGAAGGACCTTCACTGCTGGCACAGGCATGTGTGCGTGTGTGGTGGTAGTCTGCGCGTGCGTGTGTGTGGTGGTGGTGATTGGGACAGAAACACAGTGGCTTGGTGCAGTCTGTGTGTGTGTGTGTGTTTGTATGTGTGTCTGGGTGTGTCTGTGCTTCTGTGTGAGCTTGTGAACTTGTTTGTCCTCACATCATGTTACCTGTCGCATCTGACACTGCTACTGCTGCAGATACAACTTTGATCCACCAGAGTGCATGACTGTTGCCGTTCGTAAGTGAAGTTGAATGCTGCTATGAACTGAATAGCGAGGCCAGTGAAAGGGTCTGCAAGACGGGCTGTTGGTTGTTGTCGTGCTGTGGTTCACTTGTTCGCTCACACGCACACACAAAACACACACTTTTACACACACACACACACACTTTCACACACACACACACACACTTTCACACACACGCATACACGCACACACACACACACCTTCACACACACTTTTACACACGCACACACATTTTCACACACACACACACATTTCCGCACAACACCAACCGCATGCGCATTTCTTTCTCAGGTCATGCAACAAAGGAGCACTGGTGCTATTTCAGGGACGACCCAAGTGAGACCCCAGTGATGGTGGTGCATAACAAGGCAAGCGATGGTGGTGTGTATGGCGATGCAGGCGACTCGATACTGGCATTGCTCGTGGCGGAGTGCAAGGCAGCAGACCGCAAGCGCGACGCGTCAGAGCTCCGACAGAAGCTCCAGGACCTGGCCAAGAAGTACAACATACCATTGACGCTGGGAAAAGCGAAGCGGAAACGCAAGGCCAAGGTCAATGCGCCCACGTTCTCCGGCATCGGCATCTGTGTTCCCTTTGATGAAGACACCGAGATTGGATATCGCCCCCTCTCCGTGAGCGACAAGAAGCTTCGGTCCATCTTGGACGCCATTGTCAAGGCTAAACGCAAGGTACAGTGTGCGTGCGTGTGCGTGCGTGCATGTACATGTGTGTGCCTGTGTGCGTGTACGTGCGTGCATATATGTGTCTGTGTACGTGTACGTGCGTGTACGTGCGCGTGTGTTTGTGCGTGCGTACATCTGTGCGTACGTGTCTGTGTCTGTCTGTACATCCGTACATGTTTTCGTCCACTTGCGTCTGTCCGCACGCGTACATCTGTGTGTGCGCACGTGTCTATCCGTCAGGGTTGTCTCCCTGTCTGTGCCATGTTCTCCCTCCACCTCTCCATGTATCCTTGCTGCTGCTTCCCATGCTCATCTTTCAGCTGACACGCCACTGCTCGCTTTGCTCGCACGAAAATCAGAACCAAACCCCCGACTATTCGCAGCTTGATCTGCTCGTGCAATACGCCAACATCTCCAACGACGAGTTTGACTTTGGCCAGGCCCTCCAGCTCGGTGCGTGCGTGTTTGCATGTGTGTGTGTGTGTGTGTGTGTGTGTGTGTGTGTGTGTGTGTGTGTGTGTGTGTGTGTGTGTGTCATGAGTGCATGTGTGTGTGTGTCATGTGTGCGTGTGTGCATGCGTGGGTGAGAGGCTTATGGCTTCTGTGTTTTCCCTCCGTCTCATCTGCATTCCCCTTTGACCGATTCCTCCAGGTCTGGACTTGTATGCCCACTCGCTTATCTTCAAGACGGATGCCCTTCATCTTCTGGCACCAACATACGCCCTGCTCCAAAGGTGCGACACGCACACGCAACAAGAATACACAAATAAATGACACACGCACACACACTCTCTCACTCTTCCACTCTCACTACGAGTACACACACACACACACACACACACACACACACACTCACTCACACATTCACATACACATAATACGCACTCACCTCAACCCATCACACCAAAGGGACGTGTTTGCTGATATCCTTGAGCGGTTTACGCCACGACGCGGGCAGGGGTGGAAGGAAGCGGGGGAGCTGCGAACCCTCGAGGCTGCGCAGCCCGAGCACGACGGTGACAGTGAAGGCGGTGATGATGATGACGATGATGATGACGATGATGGTGGTGGTTGAGGAAGGACGAGGTGAAAATAAATAAAATTGGCCAATCATTTTGCAGCAAACATTCACCCACGTGGTTGTTGTCGATGTTGATGTGAAAGCGCACACACGCACACACACACACACACACACACACACACACACACACACACACACACACACACACACACACACACACACACACACACACACACACACACACACACACACACACACACACACACAGGTATCGAGTTTGACAACCTGTATTTGGACATGAACGGGATCATTCACCCGTGCTGTCACCCGGAGGACCGGGAACCGCCCGCAACGGAGGAGGCCATGATGGAGGCCATCTTCGAGTACATCGACCACGTCTTCACGCTCGTGCGGCCGCGGCGGCTGCTCTATCTCGCCATCGACGGCGTTGCCCCGCGCGCCAAGATGAACCAGCAGCGGGCCCGCCGCTTTCGCTCAGCACAGGAGGCCGAGGACCGCAAGCGCGTGATCGAGAAGCGGGTCGAGGCGCTGGAGGCGGACGGCGTTGCGCCCAAGTACTACTACCAGGTCACGAAGAAAAAGATGTCGTTTGACTCCAACTGCATCACCCCGGGCACGCCGTTCATGGCCAGGCTGGCGCAGCGGCTGCGGGAGTACATTGACGACCGGCTGCACTCCAACGCGGCGTGGAAGGACGTGCAGGTCATCCTGTCGGACGCCTCCGTTCCCGGCGAGGGCGAGCACAAGATCATGGACTTTATCCGCCAGCAGCAGTCCCTGCCCAGCTACGATCCCAACATGCGGCACGTGCTGTATGGCGCAGACGCAGACTTGATCATGCTTGGTCTGGCCACGCACGAGCCGCACTTCTACATCATCCGCGAGGAGTTTGTGCCGCCGCCAAAGAAGCCCTGCCCCATCTGCGGCTTCCGCGGACACGCGCTCAACGAATGCACGGGCGGAGACCCCGTGCTGAAGAAGAACCAGCACCGCAAGGGCAGCCAGGTCAAGGCAACGTTTATCGACGAGAGCCACAGCAAGGAGGCAGGTAGCCATGGCGAGAAGGAGCAGGGGCAGGAGGCGCAGGGCGACGCGGAGAGGAAGACAGGCGAGCCACAGCAGAAGGAGATGGACGCAGACAACGATGTCGATGGTAATGGTGATGGTGATGGAGCGCAAGTGGCAAAGAAGGCCAAGGCGGCGGCTCACACAACAGCTCACACAACCTTGACCACAACAACAACCACAGAGACGAAGAGCGACACCCTGCTGGAAGTGGAAGAGGACGACCGAGGAGAGGCAGAGGAGCACATGGCCACAACCACAACCACGACAACAACAAACACCGCCACAGCCGTGGAACAAGAGGCTGGTGAAGAAGAGGAGAAGGAAGAGCATGATGAGGAGAATGGTGACGAGGAAGAAGAGGAGCAAGGGGATGATGATGAGGGGGATGAGGATGAGCACAACACCGACAGCGACAGCAACGGCGATGAAGACGCATTCAAACCGCCCCATGCCGACCACCCCGCTGCCCACCTCTTTGGGTACAAGCGGCTGCAGCGGCGCTACCCGGTGTTCCTCCTCGTCGACATCCCGGCCCTCCGCCGTTGCCTGCAGGCAGAGTTTACGGGGGGCGGCAATGACGCGCGGCGGCAGAGCGGACGCGAGCGCTTCAAGATGAACGAGCGTGGAGCGAGGATGGTTGACGACTGGGTGCTGCTGTGCTGTCTTGTC